GGAGTCCTTATTGAATGGAAATCTTTCCACAAGTAATGCTCTTTAGTCTCCAAGGGTACTAGCTACTATGTGCATCATAATTTTCATACGTGGCATAACTTTCTTTTAGAATAAGAAGTTTTGTAATGAATCTTTTAATAATGCAAAGTCTTCCTTTATTAAAAAAAAATAGAATCCTTCAAAAGTAATATATCGATGTAAATATTTCATCATTTTCATATAATTATATCAAAGCAAACATAATTTCATTATATCACCAAAGCAAACGTTCCCAGAGATTCAACCAACAACTGGATAACGTTAAAATGATTAAATATAATTATTGAAGGTTTAGAATTATATTTCAGTATATAAAAACGTCAAAGTTTAAATTCAAATAAAAAAAGATAAATTGAAAATCATTCACTGGGCGTGATCTTTTCAATTTTCTCGAACAAAATATTGACGGAACATCAGGTATAGTATGATTTTCGTTGTTTTGACGATATTTCGCGCTTGTCCTCATGATGTATTCTGCTTTCCTATGTCACCTGGTGACACACTTTATTCCGAACGAACCCACCTTTGAGATTAGGTTGCGTTTGAGAACATATAATTCATTGTTATAACTAATTCATTATTATAAGTAGATAGTTCAAGGTAGGTTTGCTAGTTTAAATCTTTGGAAAAATCAGACAAAACTAAAATAGGTGTATGATTTTTGCTAAAGTATGCTACAGGATGCATCACACTGTAGTTCAAATCTTTGGAAGAAACTAAAATAGTTAACTTAGTTAGGTGAATAAGTTAACTTAGTTTTCAAAATCTTAATAAAAGATAAAGTTTTTCACCCCAAATATAGTTTTCAAAGTCTTAAAAGTTGTTTTTCACCCCCAAATAAAAGATACATCTTTCTTTACAAATTCATTTAGATGGTAAAGAAGTATCTCTACACATGTATCATACAAAAAACCACATGAATTCATTTTAAAAAATAAAAATAAAAAAGAAATATACAAATGAATCAAATCTTATTTGAAATAACCTTCTTATATGTTTACCCAAATCTCGCTTTCCATAACAGAGAATGTAAATATATATTCTCTACAAAATTATCAAGAATAAAATACTAGAGATACAAAATCGAGATAGACTATTAAATGGTGAAAAAATAATGCGTAACACTGGCTTTGCAAAAATAGAAAGAGAAACAAGGAAGAATAGTGTGTTGATTGGAGTTAGTTGAGTGGGTACAGATGGACTATGGTTCCAAATTTATATAATACGACTTACCACGGCAACTGTATATTTCTTTTATTATAATAATAAAAATTGATTTTTGTCACAATTATTAAAAAATGAGATCTAAAGTAAATAATTATTATAATTTTATTATAGTTTTTTTGTTATAGATAATAAACTTGAATTTATAAAAATAGGCTTAATACCCTATTTTGTCCCAAGTTTCGTTCGAAAATGTCAAATTAGTCCATCCTTTAAAAAATGCATCAATTACGTCCTCACTTAATAAAATTTGCATCAATGAAATCCTTCCGTTAAATCCGTAGGCGTTAATTATTTTTCTCTCTTATTAAGTAACGTCGTTTGTACGGATTTAACGGAAGAGATTTCATTGATGCAAATTTTATTAAGTGAGGACGTAATTGACGCATTTTGTAAAGGATGGACTAATTTAACATTTTCGAGCTAAACTGGAGACAAAATGGGATATTAAGCCATAAAAATATATAAAGATAAGATAATAAAAATTTTATAGTAATAAAAAAATCAGTGAATAAAAAAACAAAAATAAAATAAAACTATTAATAAATCAATAATTTTTGTTGATAAATATATATTATAGATAATAAATATATAAATTTATTTTGGTTTACTCCAAAACCTTCTTTATTTTCTCTTTAATTAATGCACACCCCAAGACATGAAAAAGGAGAATAATCAGATACAGGTTTTTCTCACTCCTCCCTCTCCGTCACACCATCACTTACCTCCGTGAACCCAACTCAATCGAACCATTATGGAAACCCAGGAAAACGACAGCGTCGTCGTCGAGGCGGAGCCTTCCACTTCCCACGCTCCCGACGGCGACGATCCCCTCTGTCAGAGCTCCGAAGTGTTGGCGAGAGGCTTGTCTTCCATGCTCTCTTCGGTGATTACCGATTTCGATTGCAGAGCTAACCAAACTCTCCGAAGCCAGGACCACCTCTCTTCCGTCCTCGATCGTCTCACGCGAGGTTTATCTTTGTTTCTTCTTTTTTTTACAACATTGTGCCAGGTTTTCCGTTGCTATTTGTCTTTGTCAGCGATTCAATTTACAAGCAGTGCATTGCAAGTAGTTTTTATGTTATTTTTTCCCTTTATGTTATTATTGCTATAGTTATGTGTTGAATTGGTTGAAAATTGGATTTAGTTCTATGGTTGGTTAGTTAGTTGAATATGAGGCTCTTGTGTACCAACAGAATCTTACGTTGTTGGCAAATAGCCTTGTCCCTTAAAGACGTAAGGTATGGTATGCACATTTGAAATATATTTGTTATACAAAATGGTCAACCTCTTAAAGTGATCTCAGTTTTTCCAGAGATTAGTCCTTAGCCCCCTGCACGAGGATACCCTGGTTCACCCAAACAAAATTATCATATAAGGCTCTTCTGTGTAATTGTAGTTTTCTTTATCTTTTCAATTCATAATACTTTTATGATATTGCTATTGCTTTTCTGATTATTATTTTTTTTTACTGTCTTTTGACGGTTAACGATATTAGTTTGAGAGTGAGTTCTGTTATGGCTTTTGGAAATTTAACAAACTTTGTTTGGGGTTGTGGACATAGGCCTAGAGCATGTTTGGTAACAGGTTCTTTAGGGTTCAGGCAGACCATAAAATAAGCTAATTTAATGCAAACGTTAAGTCAGCTTACTTGGGGATTTGAGCTCCATGTCAAATTGCATGTATATTGTGAGTGAGCTGATAATGTGAATTGATCATGCGAAGAAATTCCTTGTGTTCTACTTACTATATGAAATTGTGAAGTAGTAACTCTAGTACTAAACTATAACACTATTGTGTTGTGTCCCAAAGAAGCTCATTATTGTATGGATGGAACTAATACCGGAATATACACTTTTGTGGATGTACAACAAACACAGGTGAGGTTTTTATCATTGTTATCGATATCAAATAGCAGCACATAGCAACCATCCTCACAAACACTAAAATGAAATAGTGGATTGCAGGATCCCAATATCAATACAAGGTAAATAATTTATACCACACATATATTAATACTAAAAACCAAAAGATTAAAAATTAAAAGATATTTATATTTAATAATCGAAAATCACATTCTTAAGCTAAGCACATTAGTCAATCAGAACAAAAATCAAGAAATTAAGTGTGATTTTCTAAGCAGATGATACTATGATTGCCTCAGGGTGAAATTGAAGTTTTAAAAAACAGAATAATTAGGCACAAAACACAGATAGAACAGAAGGGGTGATCATTAGACTAAGGAGTACTTAGGAGGAGGACACGAGAGAAAAAATAAACAGGGTTGAGTGACAGAACAGAAGCTGGGAAGGGCAAGAACCTTAAGACTTTTGTGAGAAATGAAAGCAATAAAGGAAGTGCACGCAATTGATGAAACAGAGTATGTACAAAACAGAAAAGTGGGTAAGCCTAGGCTGTGCTGAAAAATGCTTGGCCTGAAATTAGGGATGTAAAAATTGGAGCCAAACAGATTTTAAACATCAAAACTGAACCAAAAAAAAGTTAGAACTTGATCAAACCAAAACCGTAAAAAGAACAACTTTTATTGTGGTTTAGATTGGTTTTTTCACTTGCTGTTAAAACTAAACCAAACCAAACCACTCCAATAATGTGCTTATATTATTTGTAGCATTATGTAATGGTATTTTGAAATTATGAATGATAATATGTGATTCTATGTGGGTTGGAGAATAACATTGACTATATATGACTAATTGATTGTGAATGGTTCATTACATACTTCTTTATTTTTATAATGGGTGTTGGGGATCTTACATTGTCCGGAGATATGGTCAAATTGTAATATACAAGTGAGGTGCAAATCTCACCTTTCAAACAATTTTGAGAAGTTGAATTAAGCTTAAAGTCCACTTTTAAGAATAGGTTTGTGAAGCAATTATTATCATATGTTGCCTTCTACTTCTCTATTACTTATGGTTATGTAAATAAAATGTTCAAGGGTTAATCATGATTCAATTAGTTATCAGATTCCACACTAATTTGTTAGTTGTTATATTGAAGATATTTCAAAAGTCAATTTGTACCTATTTGAACAGCAAGAGATCGGTTTGTTTTAGTATGGATTCAAAACTGCCTTCAAATCGAACCATATTGAACCCTATATACTTTTATGTTTGGTTCAAATAATTTTTTGTCTAAAAACCAAACCATGAATGACCCCACTAAATCCGGCAAGCACTTGTTGGTTTGTGTCAAAACAGGCAAGAAAGCAATTCATGCTGCATGAATGAAGCTTTGAACAAGGTTTCTGAATACCATCCCTGACGCACAGTGAAATAATGCAATTCTGTCATCAGTTTCAGCTCTTACAGCCACTACGGTGAACTGCTCCACTATTTTAATTCTGTAGTGACCAAGGCTGCTCCATGGCCACTGTAGTGAACTACTGACTACTACTTTGCTATACGGTCAAGAGAGAGAACAGTTAATCACACAATTTTTCTTGTGGTTCTTAGGTTTGTCTCTCCAAATGCTTTGGAAACGTTGGAAACAACTTAAACTGAGTCTTGAGCGAGAAAAGTAGGCACCTTTAATACTTGATCATAACTTTTAGCCCCAATCTCTCTAACCTTTATATTTTGGAAACTTGGAAAAGCCTTGAAGAGAAGAAAGTATTGCTTGTTATTTAAGTATACTGGAAGATGGAAAAATGTGCAATTCATGAAGATGCATTGTCTAGTGTACTGGAGGTGCACGGGATTTTGATTTCTGTGGTTCGACTTAGTTTTTGTTCGTCACATAGTATCTAAAGTTGCACAGTAGTTATAGTCTAATTTTATGCATTTGCTTGCTTTAGTTGCTATTGGAAGAAGAATTTATCTGATGGCGCTGCTAGATACAATTATTGGACACTCTCGAATAATGTTTGCATTACGATTCTGTTATTAATTTAGCATGAAGCATATACTGAAATAAGCAAGTTAAGCCGGAAAGTTATATGCTCCTGATGGGCTAATTGTTTCCGGTTTTTTCTTTCTTAAATTACTGTTTGCAACTGACAATTCTGTTGTTAATCGGGTTTGATACCTTTGGTTTAACCCTCTTATAAAATTCTTATGTTGGAAACAGTTATGCCAATGAACTATGTGGTCCATATGGGCAAAATTCTGTAGAGGGTTGATTTCATAGCCTGCCGGTGGGGAACATTTTACTCAGAAAAGTTAATATCTATTTGAATTAATGCCTTGGTTTGAACATTTATTTTAAAACTCTAGAGAAGACTTCATTCCATGTCAGTGAAAACATCTATGGTATAGTGTAGCATATTTTTTGAAAGATGCTTTGCTTAACCTCCATAAAAGAGTGTTTTACTATCAAGTGTTGAAAACAGAGCGTGAAAGTTATGTGTATAAAGCCAATTAGATATTCCACTGACTTTAAAATGTAAAATAAATTACACTCCTCCTAAGATAACTAACCTATATACTTGTCTGCATTATGGCAAAATTTTAGTGCTCTTGTAGTCTCCCTCCATGTTGTCTTCATTAGCATGTCAAACTTTTGGCTATGGTATACTAGTTTTTCCTTTGCTAACATGCTGTGATTTCTGTTCAGTCCTTCAGTCATGCTTAATCTCAATGCCTCTACTAAAGATTCTCCTATTACTTTAAGATGTCTTAATTTCTTATTACTCTAGGTGTCCAGTTTGCTGACCTGAAATTCATCTTTTTCTTTGGCAGAACTTGATCAGTTGCTTGAAGATGCACCTTTGCCATTCATAATGCAGCATGCTGCCAAGATTTCTAGTGTTAGGAAAAGAGTTTCATCCCTGAATTCACTTCTAAAGTCCATACAAGGGCGGATTGATAATATAGATCGCATGATATCTTTTGGTACTGCTCATGGTATAGACATGTCTCCAGAGACTTTATTTCATGGTTGTTTTCTAATAATTACTAACTGAGTATTGGATTTTTTTTGCTTTTGCTGGTCTCCGCCCCTGTGTATGCTCTCCCTTTAGTCAGTTTACAGTTTTATCTCTCTGTGCAAAGTTTAGATAAAATTTGCACTCAAACTTTATGACCATTTTTGTCAACAAACTATACCCGAAAGGTTCTAGATGAAATTACCAGTCATTGTTACATATTTCATCATGACAAAATAAAAAATTGAAGCATGTGAGATTATAATTTTCTTCCTTAGTAGGGGCAAGTGACTCTGGTCAAATGATTTCAAATATGTGCTATTGTACGGTAGGAATTTTGTTTTGCTTTATTTAAATTTCCTTATTATTGTGATTAATATAATTGTTATATTTGCTTTTATCATCTCAAATAGCTTGTGCATCTGTGCTTGTGTTAAGTTGTCCGAGAGTCCAGGTTCAGCTTGTCAACTGTCAAAGTGTAATCTTCTCGGCTATATTTAAACCTTGGCTGCAAATTTTTCCTCTATTAAATGAATTAGTAAAAGCTCTCTTCCACGTAAACACCATCGAAAACTAATACTTTGTGCTATATATATTTGAAGTTAATAGTTCGTGTCTTTCACCACTTTCATGCAAACAAGTTATAAGCTGAACTACATCAGTTTACATCACTGTGTACGACTTAAGGATTCCTCTTCTTAGCCTAGCTCATAGCTCTGACCTGGTTTCCTCTTAGTTGGAGAAAGCTCCCTGACAACTTTTTCTTTACTTTACAATCGAGTTTTATCCTTTAGGCTTTAAGAGGAACTGTTGAATCAACATACACTTGCCATGAGAGAACTGGAATCAANTTCTTATTACTCTAGGTGTCCAGTTTGCTGACCTGAAATTCATCTTTTTCTTTGGCAGAACTTGATCAGTTGCTTGAAGATGCACCTTTGCCATTCATAATGCAGCATGCTGCCAAGATTTCTAGTGTTAGGAAAAGAGTTTCATCCCTGAATTCACTTCTAAAGTCCATACAAGGGCGGATTGATAATATAGATCGCATGATATCTTTTGGTACTGCTCATGGTATAGACATGTCTCCAGAGACTTTATTTCATGGTTGTTTTCTAATAATTACTAACTGAGTATTGGATTTTTTTTGCTTTTGCTGGTCTCCGCCCCTGTGTATGCTCTCCCTTTAGTCAGTTTACAGTTTTATCTCTCTGTGCAAAGTTTAGATAAAATTTGCACTCAAACTTTATGACCATTTTTGTCAACAAACTATACCCGAAAGGTTCTAGATGAAATTACCAGTCATTGTTACATATTTCATCATGACAAAATAAAAAATTGAAGCATGTGAGATTATAATTTTCTTCCTTAGTAGGGGCAAGTGACTCTGGTCAAATGATTTCAAATATGTGCTATTGTACGGTAGGAATTTTGTTTTGCTTTATTTAAATTTCCTTATTATTGTGATTAATATAATTGTTATATTTGCTTTTATCATCTCAAATAGCTTGTGCATCTGTGCTTGTGTTAAGTTGTCCGAGAGTCCAGGTTCAGCTTGTCAACTGTCAAAGTGTAATCTTCTCGGCTATATTTAAACCTTGGCTGCAAATTTTTCCTCTATTAAATGAATTAGTAAAAGCTCTCTTCCACGTAAACACCATCGAAAACTAATACTTTGTGCTATATATATTTGAAGTTAATAGTTCGTGTCTTTCACCACTTTCATGCAAACAAGTTATAAGCTGAACTACATCAGTTTACATCACTGTGTACGACTTAAGGATTCCTCTTCTTAGCCTAGCTCATAGCTCTGACCTGGTTTCCTCTTAGTTGGAGAAAGCTCCCTGACAACTTTTTCTTTACTTTACAATCGAGTTTTATCCTTTAGGCTTTAAGAGGAACTGTTGAATCAACATACACTTGCCATGAGAGAACTGGAATCAATCACTCTAGCTGGCATTTTCCAGATCAATCATGAAGTCATTGTGATAGTTATCTTATCGGGTAGACCACAAGGATCACGGCTGTTCTGGCCTGATAAGGAAAGTGGTCAGTATCCACTGTATGCTTAAATCTGCTTCTAGGGCCACTGAAGATTTTGACAACCCTATTAGTGATGATATCTACTGTAGCTTGAGCTGATTAGGATTGACTACTAGACAAATGAACAGAAGTCCTAGCATGTGACAATCTGAATTGATAACTTGCCAAAGTGAACGCTGTGCCTTTTTAGTTGACAGGAAGGTCGAGCTTGCATTTTGCATAAGATTTTTCGCAACAAGCAGACAAGATAGTGATTTTTTTTTTTATTTACAGTGACTAGTTCTTGGATAAATAGTTTTGTCAAAGAACTTCGAAGACTAAAATGAGGATGAATGATTTGTACTCCATTAGATAGCCTTGACTTAATTAATAATATGCATACTTCAACCTTCTTTGAATCCCTTTTCTTATACCAACTTATTTTGTGTGCAATTTTGCAGAGAAAAACAACCAATGAAGTTATAGGTGAAATGTCGACAGAATAAGCAGCTTCCATTCTTCCCTCATGTACTTAATATGTAATGTATCCTTCAATTGAATTCTTATTGTCAAGCACATACCAGCTTAGTGCCAGTTAAGGAGTAAGGATTTTAGAATAGGAATCCAGTAACAAGCTGTATTTGGGTTACTTTTGACACTTCGTGTTCAAAGTCTCAAGTAAAAATTCATTTCATTCATTAAGGAATTCTTATTTTAAACTGAAAACCTGTCTTAAATGATAAATTTTATATTAACAAATATAAGAATTGGAAAATTCTATTACCTTCGATAGTATTTACAAGTAGTCATTCTATTTCAATTTTATGCTTCTCTATACCTATCCCATTCCCTGCTTTAAGGAAATGGGGGGAAAATGAGGAAAGCAGGAAGCCATAGCATGGTGGGGCTACTTAACAGGTTCCTCATCTAAATTAGCATACGTTGTTTGTTGGTAATAAATCGGGCCGTTTGATTCATTGAACGTGTGAGACAGAGTCTGCAAATGCAACCCAATTACATTGAACTATTGGTACCTTCTAGACCATCTAGATGCCTAGAAAGTGATATATAGTCGTAATATATTCATGACGTGCATTGTTTATATATAAATACTGAAGATTGGAACGATATGGTGACACATGCAAAATTTGCCTAGCATTACCAGATCTTATTTCCCGAAGTAAGTGGCCAGAATCATGCCTTTGTTTGCTGTTGTCGTTTTGCTGCACCACTGAGTGAAGAAGAAAAGGAAAGAAAGGAAATAACATAACATCTCAGCTCCAACCAAAGGTTCTTCTGATTGAGGTACAGTAAAACCGTAAAAAGTTGTCCAATGCATGCAGTACTAAATTCCAAAGGGACCCAAGCCCATTGCAGTTTTTATGACATGCGCTAACATAACAACAACAAATTATCCTTGACAGTCCAGCTCATGAAGATACTGTGATGTAACTCCAGTAGTTCACATGCCCCCACACTGTAGTACGGACTTCACAGGTGGTGGTAGCATTATTCTATTTCTAAAACATCCATCCTCTCACCTGCTCTTCAATCTTACAAGGGGGACCTGCAATGTTGATGAAGATGAGGACAGAGATATGTTCCCAAGTCAGTCATCTCTTCCTTCAAATTTCTTTCATGTCAAAAAGTAGAAGGACTAATAATTGAAATGAAGTGATGAATGGAGTGATTAATTTAATCATATCTTCCCTCTTTTTTAACTGTTTTATCTTTCACTATACAGAAATTATTTGTTATTTGTGTCTGTCTGCCCTCCTCATCTTTAGATTCTCACCCTTTTTAGCCGTTAGCATTTTAGCAACAGCACCCTCCTTTTCTCATCCCTTTTGTGCACTGACCCAGTGACCCACTCCCTATGCAAGAGAGAGGGGGAGGGACGGGGGAGGGGGTTGGGGTTGGCAGTGATGCATATGATAGGGTAAAAGGGATTGGATGAGGGGGAATCTGTGCAGAGACCCAACTGTACATAAGCACGTTCTCTCTTTGATGCCCCAAAACTCTCCCATCAGCCTTTTGCAGGCTCCCTTATTATTCAACAAACATATTGTTTTCTTTATGAGACACAGAAAATCAGAGCAAGGAGATCATGCTTTAAATACACTCCCTCCCTCCCTCCCTCCTATTAAATAATACTACTAGGTCTAGTAGTATTTAATTAATTTATTTAATGGGAGGGCTTTCATTAATTAACCAGAGGTTGCTTTTCAGCTGATTTAGCTCGCAAGATAGAAATCATTGCACCTATCCATCCTCATCTCCATATAAAGCAAAAGAGCGAAAGTAATGACAAAGTTGAGCTCACTAACAAAACAACCAAACTATTATAAGTCACGTCACACAATCCTGACCTCGCTGGCTGGCTTGCTGGCTTTCGTGATGAAATTAATTAAGAATACGAATAAACTAGCAAAATATGGCAAGAATCTAGGGGTTATTTGGCTTTAGGGAATACTACTAAAAAAATTACAACCACATGCACTTTCCTCCTCCACATGAGAAAAGACACAAGTAGCCTTGCGATGCTGCATTGGGACACAGTAAACAGACACCGGCAGCATGACTATAAAAAGAAGTGTTGGTAGGTGCATCCATTTTCACGTTGTCACAAAGCCCAAACTCTAATGGGAACAAATGTGGTATTATAATGGGGACTACTCCCTTAGGACTGGTCAACACAGCTCACCCATATCATATCATATCAGATGCATCAAAATCCGAGTATGGACGAAAAAGCCTATAAATATATAAAAAGAAAAAGAAAAGGTGAGCAAGACGGCTCATCATGCCTGCAATACTGCCTAGGTAGGGTTTTCAGGTTTTCACGCTTTTCTTCATTTCTACACACTATCGGNTGATATCTACTGTAGCTTGAGCTGATTAGGATTGACTACTAGACAAATGACCAGAAGTCCTAGCATGTGACAATCTGAATTGATAACTTGCCAAAGTGAACGCTGTGCCTTTTTAGTTGACAGGAAGGTCGAGCTTGCATTTTGCATAAGATTTTTCGCAACAAGCAGACAAGATAGTGATTTTTTTTTTTATTTACAGTGACTAGTTCTTGGATAAATAGTTTTGTCAAAGAACTTCGAAGACTAAAATGAGGATGAATGATTTGTACTCCATTAGGTAGCCTTGACTTAATTAATAATATGCATACTTCAACCTTCTTTGAATCCCTTTTCTTATACCAACTTATTTTGTGTGCAATTTTGCAGAGAAAAACAACCAATGAAGTTATAGGTGAAATGTCGACAGAATAAGCAGCTTCCATTCTTCCCTCATGTACTTAATATGTAATGTATCCTTCAATTGAATTCTTATTGTCAAGCACATACCAGCTTAGTGCCAGTTAAGGAGTAAGGATTTTAGAATAGGAATCCAGTAACAAGCTGTATTTGGGTTACTTTTGACACTTCGTGTTCAAAGTCTCAAGTAAAAATTCATTTCATTCATTAAGGAATTCTTATTTTAAACTGAAAACCTGTCTTAAATGATAAATTTTATATTAACAAATATAAGAATTGGAAAATTCTATTACCTTCGATAGTATTTACAAGTAGTCATTCTATTTCAATTTTATGCTTCTCTATACCTATCCCATTCCCTGCTTTAAGGAAATGGGGGGAAAATGAGGAAAGCAGGAAGCCATAGCATGGTGGGGCTACTTAACAGGTTCCTCATCTAAATTAGCATACGTTGTTTGTTGGTAATAAATCGGGCCGTTTGATTCATTGAACGTGTGAGACAGAGTCTGCAAATGCAACCCAATTACATTGAACTATTGGTACCTTCTAGACCATCTAGATGCCTAGAAAGTGATATATAGTCGTAATATATTCATGACGTGCATTGTTTATATATAAATACTGAAGATTGGAACGATATGGTGACACATGCAAAATTTGCCTAGCATTACCAGATCTTATTTCCCGAAGTAAGTGGCCAGAATCATGCCTTTGTTTGCTGTTGTCGTTTTGCTGCACCACTGAGTGAAGAAGAAAAGGAAAGAAAGGAAATAACATAACATCTCAGCTCCAACCAAAGGTTCTTCTGATTGAGGTACAGTAAAACCGTAAAAAGTTGTCCAATGCATGCAGTACTAAATTCCAAAGGGACCCAAGCCCATTGCAGTTTTTATGACATGCGCTAACATAACAACAACAAATTATCCTTGACAGTCCAGCTCATGAAGATACTGTGATGTAACTCCAGTAGTTCACATGCCCCCACACTGTAGTACGGACTTCACAGGTGGTGGTAGCATTATTCTATTTCTAAAACATCCATCCTCTCACCTGCTCTTCAATCTTACAAGGGGGACCTGCAATGTTGATGAAGATGAGGACAGAGATATGTTCCCAAGTCAGTCATCTCTTCCTTCAAATTTCTTTCATGTCAAAAAGTAGAAGGACTAATAATTGAAATGAAGTGATGAATGGAGTGATTAATTTAATCATATCTTCCCTCTTTTTTAACTGTTTTATCTTTCACTATACAGAAATTATTTGTTATTTGTGTCTGTCTGCCCTCCTCATCTTTAGATTCTCACCCTTTTTAGCCGTTAGCATTTTAGCAACAGCACCCTCCTTTTCTCATCCCTTTTGTGCACTGACCCAGTGACCCACTCCCTATGCAAGAGAGAGGGGGAGGGACGGGGGAGGGGGTTGGGGTTGGCAGTGATGCATATGATAGGGTAAAAGGGATTGGATGAGGGGGAATCTGTGCAGAGACCCAACTGTACATAAGCACGTTCTCTCTTTGATGCCCCAAAACTCTCCCATCAGCCTTTTGCAGGCTCCCTTATTATTCAACAAACATATTGTTTTCTTTATGAGACACAGAAAATCAGAGCAAGGAGATCATGCTTTAAATACACTCCCTCCCTCCCTCCTATTAAATAATACTACTAGGTCTAGTAGTATTTAATTAATTTATTTAATGGGAGGGCTTTCATTAATTAACCAGAGGTTGCTTTTCAGCTGATTTAGCTCGCAAGATAGAAATCATTGCACCTATCCATCCTCATCTCCATATAAAGCAAAAGAGCGAAAGTAATGACAAAGTTGAGCTCACTAACCAAAACAACCAAACTATTATAAGTCACGTCACACAATCCTGACCTCGCTGGCTGGCTTGCTGGCTTTCGTGATGAAATTAATTAAGAATACGAATAAACTAGCAAAATATGGCAAGAATCTAGGGGTTATTTGGCTTTAGGGAATACTACTAAAAAAATTACAACCACATGCACTTTCCTCCTCCACATGAGAAAAGACACAAGTAGCCTTGCGATGCTGCATTGGGACACAGTAAACAGACACCGGCAGCATGACTATAAAAAGAAGTGTTGGTAGGTGCATCCATTTTCACGTTGTCACAAAGCCCAAACTCTAATGGGAACAAATGTGGTATTATAATGGGGACTACTCCCTTAGGACTGGTCAACACAGCTCACCCATATCATATCATATCAGATGCATCAAAATCCGAGTATGGACGAAAAAGCCTATAAATATATAAAAAGAAAAAGAAAAGGTGAGCAAGACGGCTCATCATGCCTGCAATACTGCCTAGGTAGGGTTTTCAGGTTTTCACGCTTTTCTTCATTTCTACACACTATCGGGTGCAATAAATTGCTCCAGTGTCCAGTATTTCATGCCATGCACCCTCTACTTGTCACATTACTTTTATGTCTCAACTTTCTCATATACCATTTTTATCATTACCTTCAAAATTAGATTTTAATTTTTTTAATAATTATCGATAAATAAAGATATTTATTTTCATGAACATCAAAAGCAATATTTAGTATCAGACCTTATAAGTTATAACCACTGAGAATATTAAAAATAGCAGTAAACATATATTATCATACTTCATTTTTATTTCATTTATTTGTTTATGAGAATTAATTATTTATATGGATATGGACGAAGAATATTCTCGGAGCACTGTGTTATAAGGGGTGGAATAGATAAAGCATGATCTGCAACGGCTTGAATGGGAAAGTGTCGAATAAATAGTTCACAGTATGCAGAACTCCAAACCCCAGACCATGCGCTCATGTAAAAGATGGAACACCACTTCCACAACAACCACAACTGAATTTTTGTGAAAAAACCAACTCAAGTCTATCGTTTACCCAATTACGAATTATGACATCATCAATTCTTTTTCTTTCAATTTTGAAAGGAAAACATCTAACTCTCACCCATCTTTTGTTTCCTTCATCGCTTTACT